TTTCGCTCTTGCTGTCTGGGCTGGAGTGCAGTGGCACGACCTCGGCTCACTGCAACCTCTGCCTCCCAGGTTCAAGAGATTCTCCTGCCTAAGCCTCCTGAGTAGCTGGAATTACAGGCACCCACCACCATGCCTGGCTAATTTTGTATTTTTAGTAGAGATGGGGTTTCACTATGTTGGCCAGGCTGGTCTTGAACTCCTGGCCTCAGCTGATCCACCCACCATGGCCTCCCAAAGTGCTGGGATCACAGGCATGAGCCATGTGTCTGGCCCAGTCCTTTCTTTAGTATGGGTCTTTGGGGAACAGCATCCTCTACAGACGCTCTTCTGTGCTTTGATTATTAAGCTTTGGCCTACCTGATGTTTGGTCAACAAAATCCTGTTGTTGTTCCATGAGAGCACATGAGGTTTTGCACTGATCAAGTATAGCCTGAGACAAATTGTGAGAGTGAGGGCATTGCACACAATTCCTGCAAGGGAAAACAGAAGTGAAAGTATTCATTTTTCAAAAAGGTGGTAGACTATAATATTTTCTGCAAGAAAAAAAGACAAAATAATAATGCAGAGACAATTCAAATTTTGATTAGGTTTATTAGAAAGTACTCCATCATTATGCTGAAGGATTGCATTACCAAATGATTAAAATAAATTACCATGCATAAGTCCAAAAAGCTTACATGAGCTACTAATCTGAGAAAGTCAGTGGTTTAAAATGTTGAATAAAACAAACTGGAAGTTACAGTGATGTTTAGATTAGTAGTCTCTGTGCCGATCTCAAATTGCTACTGAAAAATTTGTTGACACAAAACAGTAACGTCACCTTCATTTAACATATCACTTATTTCTAGGGTGCATCACAGACACCATTGTTCTTTATCATTAAAATATTAAAAATAAAACATAGCAGTAATAGCTAACATTTATCCTATGGTTGACTTGCATCAAGTACAAAGCTGAGTTTTTTTTTTAATATGAATCATTTGATTATCTCACAGAAATATAGCAAGATATTATTGTTATTACTATCCTGACTTTTGATATCAGGAAACTGAGGCACAGAAAATTATAACAACTTGTTCTAGATTGATCCCACTATAACTAAATAGTAAGCTGGGTAGCAGGTAACTTCTGATTTCAAAAACCTATTTCAAAAAAGGTAAGGTCATGAGTGCCCAGATTTATTCTGATGCTTCCACAGCTATCCAGCAGTCAAAGATTTCAATCCAGGTCTTCCATTTCATAGCATTTCCCATTTAATTCTTTTGTGGCATGATGGTAACAATGTATCAGGTAACTTTTAAGATTAAGGAAGGCAGAACAAAAAAGGACAAAAGTAGCTATTCTTTATATATGTTTGGAGTCAGAGAAATCATACCAGTTTTCCTTGCAGGCCTCATGACAGGTGGGGCAGTGTTCACAGAAGCGGCCGATGCTCCTGGGATCGGTGCACTCACACCTTCCACACACACACGTGCCTCTTCCGCTGCACACTTGGCCCTGTGAATTGACACAGTGCTGGGCTGATGCTGAAGGGCACTGGCACCGATCTCCTTCCCAGCCACTGAAGCATTGACATCTGCCTCCTTCACACTCTCCATGCCCTGTGAGGAAGACACCGCAGAACCTCTGTTATCTGAATCACTGACTTTGTAAAAAGTTTTCAACCATAGATTCCTGTATCATCTCCATGGAAACGCACTAACAGTCCAATGAATGGAAACAGCAACACTTTTTTGTTGGTCTGACACAAACAGTGCTGGATTTAGGAGGATCTATTTTCAAAGCTGTTCTACTGTAGATAATCTCCCCATGCTAATGAACTCTGCTAACAAGCACGAAGGCACCCCTGCTTCAGTGGCTCCCAGACTACTTGAATATCATTGCATATTCAGTTTTAAATTTAAAACACACACATATTAATAAACTGCAAAGGCCGAAGTAATGTTAACTGTCTGACTTGAAATGAGAAAAATACGGGTATTTGATTAATGGTTTCCATAATCTATTTTCTGTCTTCTGATATTGCTGAAGGCCTAGGATAACTTCGCAGGACTGTGAGGCAAACCTTTCTAGTGCTTCAGTACTGCTGGTGCCATGTTTAAAGATCAGATCCCTTGAGAAGCTGATGCTTTCATGTCTTTAGTGCATTATTTAGTAAGTTAGCAGGGCAGATCTGCCTCTATGCTGTGAGCTCTTCTTAGATGGTAAATGAAAAAAAGAAAGAAAGATGGGTGTGTGTGTGGTGGGGGAACACTTATGCATGTGGGGTGAAGAAAGCATAGTTACACATAGTTAAATGGATTTTAGACAGCAAAAAGTGTCCAAAACTTAATATGCCAATGTGTACTAGAAATCGTCACCAGGGGGTACATTTTACCTGATTATATAGGATTTCTGAAGCTTATCTAGCCACAAACCAACCTTCCTCTTTTCTCCCTCTCTCACTCTGTTCTTCCTTTCCTTTCTCCCTCCCTCCTTTCCTTCCTTCTCTCTTTCTTTCCTTTCTTAGCTCCCTCTCTCTGTTCTTTTATGGCTGAGCATATCACAGGGTAATCGTTCCACAGATTCTACTGTAGGACCAGCTTTATTTGCTAAGTGTAAAACTAATGAGGTCCAGGCCAGACAAATGTTGGCCAGACCCTCTCTGCTGTGCAGGCTTATGCTGAATCCTAGCCAGTAGGCCTGTGAACATGTGTTTTTATTCCCAAAGGAGACTAGTGGAGAAAGTACATGTCAGTTACAGTCTGCACTTATACCGAAACAATTCAAAACAGATTATCAACTGCTTGTAGATCAGTAGTATCATAATCATATGGAAAAACTAGTACATCAATTTTTTGATATTCTACTGCAGAGACTGGGACAAATACTCAAATGTATTTGAAACTTTCTTGAGAGATTGACAGCTGTGGGATGTGACCTCAGAAAATTCTTTCTCTTTACTGTAAAATAATATTTTTCCTCCTTGGAAAATATGGTAGACAACTGCTGGTTCATTCTAAAGTCACCTGTAAACCATCCTACCCATGATGTCAGTTATAGTTGATAAATGCTTATATATTAAAATAGTCTATGTATGTAATAGAATAGGAAGATAATTTTCTATTACACATTTAGGTGATACAGGCCAAATTTTCAGCTTAGACTAGATTATAACTTTTTTTATATAGGTTTGTTACTTCCCATATGCTTATGATGACATGTTTCCATTCATCAATAATTTAACAAATACTTATTTACTAAAATGCAAATACTAAAAAGATGTTTTTCGCATTGAGTAAATTTAGCACATTGTCACAAGAAAATTATCCTAGAACTCAGATAATGGGTAGTTTATTTAATTCATTTTAAAACAGTATTTTGTTTTAGTTTGCAAATGTTGATTAGATTTTCTGGACTCTAACCTGTAGGTGGCAGTAAATTGAATGGCCCAAGAGTAATCCTGGTATTTTTATTTTAATTTGTTCCATTTTTAAAATTTGGTCTGTGTGTGGCCTCAAGGACAAGTCTTTTAGATTACTTAGTCAAGCAATGTTTTCTTGAAGAATGCTGTCCTTTGGCAGTTTTGTTGCTGGTGGTGGCCCAAAAGAAACTGCAGAGGCTTAAATTAATGTCATCTTAGAATACCATTTATAATAATGCATTAAGGATTTTCAAATGAATGAGAAGTATACTCTTATAACTCACTCCCCGTCATCCTGACAGAAATAAAATCCTCTGAGCAAGCTGGAGGGAGTGACCATTTACCAGAATGAATCAGATCCTTCTAGAAGAATACTCTGATTCTTCTAGAAGATGTGTCAGACATCATCAGCATTTCCTTTTCTTGTATATTTTTTTCCCAAGATCAAAAAATGCATGAGACTAACAATTAATTTTAGGTTTTTATGTTGAAGCATTTCCTGTAAAAAAAAATAGGTTGAAATATAAATATCAAAATCACATGCTATAAATCTATTGCCGTGCCCTAATTTCATGGACTATGAAACTTTAACAAATTCAGATTCAGTTTTGGTAATTTATAAAGATGTGATTTAAAGATACTTTAACATCTATGCTAGTATAATAGTGACAAGTAAAAGTTGCCTGTATGTATTTATACTCACCAGCACACAGATTTCCATGATGATATGGGCAAGAAAAGTCATCCTTTTCACAGTATTTTCCATACACTTTTCCAAGCTTAATTTTGTCACATAAACATTCCCCACAAACACAAACTCCGCGACCACTGCAAACAGGTTGATCCTCGTGTGACTTGCAACTCTCAGAAGAAAACTGATCTTCATCAAAATGGCATTTATTCTCATCACACTGGAAACACTTGGAATCCAGAAGAGTTTCATCTACACACTTTCCTTTAGGTTCTCTGTTGTCCTCACACTGACAACTGCAGTTTCTGTGTATATGAATTTTAGTGGTTTCATTAAAACCAATAGGTTTGATTATTGCATAGCTTTTTCCTCCTGTGACATCACATTTTTTCATTGTAACTGTTACATTGAAAAGAACCTAAATTTAGGAGGAAAAAGGAAATATATTTATATGCCTTGATTTTTATTACCAATATTATATCTGTTAATAACTGAATTGATAAGAAACCATCTTGGAGAAATTAACAATATTTGTTAAACACGTGTAATCTCTTTCACATTATATGCAACATCTCTTTTTAATGTCACTTATTTCCCAATTAACGAATTTGAGAGTTAAAGAATAATGTCTATATTGCACCTCTAAATAGACTTGAGTGCAAGCCTATTTGAAGCATCTACTCCACCACTGATGATTAATTTCTTAACAAACATGAGAAAGAATAGACCATTTTCTAAGTTCAATCATTAAAATGTGGGGTTATTGAATATTTGACACTAGGAATAGAGCACATAAACCAAAGTAAAAGGCTTCTGCTCTACTGGTTTAAAACTCAGATGAGGCCAGGTGAGGTGGCTCATGCCTGTAATCCCAGCACTTTGGGAAGGTGAGGCAGTTGGATCACCTGAGGTCAGGAGTTTGATACCAGCCTGGACAACATGGTGAAACCCCTTCTCTACTGAAAATTCAAAAATTAGCTGGTTGTGGTGGCCTGCACCCGTAGTCCCAGGTACTTGGAGGGAAGCTGAGGCAGGAGAATTGCTTGAACCTGGGAGATGGAGGTTGCAGTGAGCTGAGATCACTCCACTGTACTCCGTCCTGGGTGACACAGCAAGACTCCATATCAGGGGGAAAAAAAAAAAGAAGTCAAAACCCTGAGATGAGATGTTCAAACAAACCATTTTAATTTTGTTCCTATTTTCTAGGAGCCCAAGTCAAGTTTCAGAGTTAAATTTTAGTTTATAAAGGGTGTCAGTGGAGGAAAACATCGGCTTTCTCTGATGTTACTCAAAAGAAAAATGTTTAGGACTCTCATTTTCAAATCTTAAAACATCAACACAGGTCATTGATTTGTCTCAGTGGAAGAAGTTAGCTCAGAACTCAGGAACTGCGCTGGCAGGAATTGGCCAAATGTTTTCTTTTTCTCTATTTCTTCTTTTTGCACAACACAATTATTTAATACGTCTACTTATATTTGTTGGATCATCTTACCATCTTTAGGTACTTTGGTAAATAAGAAGGTATGTTTCTTTCATGTTGGACTGAGATTCATTACAATTTAAAATTAATTTGTGCTGAGCTTTTAGGATGGAATATATGTATATGATGATATAATAATATAAAATATCTAAATTTAGTCTTATAAATACATGAAACATTAGAATTGGTTCCATAATGTTAAAATCAATACAATTGGTGTTATACTTAAAATGCTTTTGTTTTTGAGAATGCTGAGGATTAACAGATATGTAAGTTAATGTGGTCATTGCCATCTCTAACAGTAGATCAAACCCTGGGGTTTCTGTAATTAAGAGGTTATATGATTATTCCTGATAGTTAAACTATTTATACCACTCAATTTAAAGTGAAGGAAAGATGATATATAAGCAAATGAAAAGAAAAAATGTAAAAGGTAAGAAAAACCATTCTTCCAAAATGAGATTTTGAAGAAAATAACTTTCTTAGAGAGTAACCATTTTTTTCATAAAGTAACTTAGTGCTATATTTGTTAGTAAAAAGTTTTCTCTGTAGTTTTAATGAAAAGCAAAAGTGCATTTTGCACACTAGTGTATGATGTCTTTTGAACAAAATCCAAGGAAAGTGATTATAGAAGAAACTACAGAATTTGAAACTTGCAATAATTAATTTAAAATATACAGCTCTAAAATTCCTAAGATAAAAAAACATATTCTACTAAAAACCAGAGAGGATTCTCTTTTATTCAATTTTATAATCTTCTATCACTTTCAATAACTTTTTCTTTATTTTCTATAGCATGACATTACATAATTAATCATGATAAAACCTTAGTGGAAAAGGGGTTGGAAATCTTCTAGTCCAAGTCATTCATTTAAAAAATGAGACAAGGAATGTCATGTGGTCAGTGACTCACCCAAAATCACTTCACCCAGCGAAGAGTCCCTTAACGGGTATATTTCTCCGTGCTACTGTCTCTATTGTGCCAGTCCTTGGGGAATCTCTATCTCCTCTGCTGCTGTTTCCTGATACTGTTACAAGCTGGGTCTGTCTTCTTTACATCCCAATCCTTTTTTGGTAAATGATGACTCTTCTCATTTTGTATTGGTCTTAACAAATTTCTCTACTTCTTTTTAGATAATTTAGATAATTATGAGTGTTTTGAGGAAATCACAGAGTGAAAGATTTGGAATTCTTAGCCTTTTTCAACTGCTCTAGCATTCCCATTCTTTTCTATGTTATATGACTTTCAATTTCACATTTATTTTGAGAATTTGTGAATATGTAACCGAAAAGGCATTACCATTATTATAAACATAGACACTACTTATTTGAGGATATGTGATTTCCTAATTTATACTGGTCATGACACCTAAGTTTAAAGTTACTATTGATAAATAATTGTTTAATATCACACACACATATACATATTAAAACCTGAGATTTGGAGAGATCAACTGAACTAAAATAGGAAATTTGAGGAGGAACAACAAAAGTTACCTCAAAGTATAAATATGATACTTAGAGTCAATAGTAAGTAAAATTTTTCAGAATGGTTTGATTTTTCTGTAAGAAAGTATGCCAGACAACTTAATTTATTTTAAAAGGGTAAAATGCACACCCACATACTTCATCATTGCTTGTCACATTTCTGCATCCATCCATGCCTGGCTTTCTGGACCCATCTGGACAGATGGCGGTAACGTTAAAATAGACGCCTTGTACCTGGTTTTCCACCTGAACTTTCACTTCTGAAATGAGTTTCTGCAGAGACATTATTTTTTTAAATTACATATGATAGTAGTTTCAAATGTAAGCAACAGAGTCAAGCTTATTAAATCATAGATTTAATATTAACTACATCAAAGAGTCTCTTTTTATAAAAGGATGAATAAAAACAGTGTTTCCACATAATGACCCAATTATATTTGAAATAAGAAATACTGAAGGATTAGATTATTTTCATTCAAATCGTTCTGTTTTTTTACATATTTCCATGACTGCATTTTGAGTCCTTCAAAGATATTTCTCAGTCTCTTAACAAAATAGTCATTTTTAATCCAGTAATACTTATATTTTATGATAAAGTTTAATTAAATATTGATAACACATATATCATCACAAAGGGTAAATCTTGACACTTAAAATATGGAAAATGCTTCTGTCATATAAAGCTGCTAAAGAAATATTTTTGTGCTACAATTTAACTATTAAGCTTTATGTGTCAGGAAGGGAGTCAGAGAATTTGGGAAAATGAGACTTTATAGTTGACTGGTAAAGTCAAGGTAGCATAAAGCATATCTTTTGACACCCTGTAAAACAAAGAAAAACAGGTGGTATTGCACAGGAGGAAGCACCTGAGGCTGGAAGTAGAGGAACACCTGGGTTTTGATTCCCCTTTCTTCTGCTTATTAGTTGAGGAATCTTTGATGAATTGTTTCACTTTCCTGACTCTTGGTTTCTACTAATATACAATGGGAGTACTAACCACCTGCCTTCCAGGTCAGGTGTGAGAACTGAATGAGATCAGGTATGGAAAGTGACTGGATATTAGTGGTAAAAAAGTAGCAGTCACTATTATCGCAACATTTTAACGGAGGATGTTCTATCTAGGAATGACCCAGGTTGAAAGAACAGATGTTTCTTTAAATTCTTTGCATTGAAGCATTCACTCTTCATAGGACTGACGACAGCATACAACCATCAACTCAAGAAAATAGAATATCTACTAAGGTGATTCTTTTCATCAAACTCTTTTGATAAAACCACTAAAATAATTGTTGAACAATCAAGTGGTTGATCATAAAGACTCCAACAGAGTCCTCTTAATAATTGTTATATCCCAGATAGTTCAACTTCCCTGGCAGATTATTGATTTATGTAACCGTGAACTTCTACTTTATCATTATGGCATAGGAAATGATGCAATTTCATGGTAATAAAGTACAGTCTATAGCCATGATTTCATGATTCACTGAGCATTGGATGTGGAAGGAAATTTAGATAGCCTCTAGCCCAATCTTAGTTGATTACCAATGAGACAAGTGAGGTAAAGAAAGCAGAAATGACTTTCCCAAAGCAGAAAGCTAGTTAGTGGTAGGGCCAGGGATGAACTTCAGATTCCTAATTCCTAATCTAATATGCTTTCTACTTCTCCTCTCAAGATGACATGGCACAACTTTGTACCTTGCCACATAAATTGGGGTGAACAGTTTATTTTAAAAATTGTATATAATATATATATATACCTTATAGGCTTCCACTACCAAATTATTGAGGTTTGCAGACTTTGCTTCTATTTCACCAGCAACGGTGCCCGGCAAGAGGGGTAGAAGATCCTATAAAACATATCAGTAGCATTGAAACAATGACAATAGTATGCAGTGGTTTAGCAACCAACACATATTAAATATTTTTGTAGTTATCCATGAATGAAAGCATATAAGACACAAGAAAAATATAAGCAACCTAGTAGAGCAGTTAGAACATATACCCATATAGTGGTTGTGTGTGTCTGTACATGTGCATGACTATGTGTGTGTATCTGAAATCACTGTACATGACGACTAAAATTCCAGTCGAAGTGTAGATGAGCATCTCCCAAGTGTCTTCCATGGACTGTAACCCCAAAAGATTTTAAACATACAAAAAAAAAAGTTTGAGAAGTTCTGCATACGGCTTCTTCCACTTAAAAACATAAAGTGCACATTTGCAAATTAAAAGGTTCAGAGTAGGCCTGCAGTTTGGAAATGATTTAACACTGTTTAATGCAGCATTTCCCAAAACTTCTTTAGTTAGGAAAACTCATAGTCACAAGTGGAAACTTCATGGAGTATGTGTTCTTAATGGATGTTGCTTATTAATTACAGAGAAGACCATAGGTATTTTTAGGGAGAATGAACGAAGGCTTAAAGGTCTACTCGAATTGTAGATGAAGCAAATATAGAAAAAAGGCCAATCTGACTAAATGGCACTTACTTGTAGGAAATCAGATAGTAAAAAGTTTTGAAATCCATTAATTCTTGCATTTTATTCTATTCACAAGTATCATTAAGTTCCTGCTGTATGCCAACCATTACTTAGACATTAATAATTTGGTACCTCAAGCCATAGGGAAAACTCTACCATTTATAGGGTCAAAAAATTCATTTATTAGATTTTTGTTGAGCTCCTACTGTATACCACTTTGGAGATGCTAAATCACTAGGTCACACAGTTGTACCCTTAAGATTCTCACAGTATATAAACGACAATTTCACTAAACACTGTACATTTGAACATGAGAAACAAAAGTGATATGCACAGACCCTAATGAGAGGGATACTTGGCAAGCATTTCATAGCTGGGGAAGGTTGCCAAGGACTGTCTCTTGGAGGAGGTGACTTATAAGGCATATCTTAAAGAATGAGTAGGAGTTAATAAAGTAAGGAGGGAGAAGGGCTTCCAGACATGAGAAGCGAAGGTACGCAGCAAGAACAAAGGCACAGAGGAAAGAAACAGCCTGATTGAATGCTTGTACACAGGAGGATTAGAAGCATGGCTGGAGGCATGAGAAGGATTCCTGCAAGGCAAGGAACAGTGGGTCAATAAGGCCAAAAAGGCAAGCAGAGACCACGTGACTTCATGTGCCAACTTTGACACTTGGTCCTCTAATTCAGAGGGCACCACTTAAACATTTTACTCAAGGGAGTACTGTTGACCTTGTGATTTCAACAGATCATCCTGGCAGCCAGATGGAGGGTGGATTACAGAGCTCAGCTATCAGGTCGTTTTTTATCGATTGATAAAAAAGTTCTCTAGGTAGTCAAAGGAGAAGACTACAGGGGCATGCATGGGGCTCATGCTGGAGCTTCCCAGGCTTTGGAGCCAGTTGATTCTGACTTTGCACATAATTCAATTAATAATAAACTTGGTTTTATGGTTTTACAGTTAGTGGCACATTTTAAAAAGAATAGGAAGAAACTACTAATGCCAATAACGCTATCAAGAAATAATGTTAGCGGAACAGCAAAGAGGACGCAAAAGCTGTAAAAAGCTGCACAGTATTTCAGTCAACTATTAAGCTTAGCCATTAAGAGCACAGGATTTGGGTTGTTAGAAACCCTTGGGCAAACATTTAACCTCCCTAAATATGACTCCTCATCTTTAAAATGGGCATATTAAGATGTCTGCCCTCATTTTTATGAGTTACTAAGAGGATTAGTTTAATAAATGTCTACAAACTCAATGCCTGACAATAGTTAAGTACCCAATAAGTGGAAGCTGTTACTGTGGTTAATAAAGTGGTTTGAGCCAGTTAACTTTGGCCAGAGTCCCACTTCTGCAGATGTTAGTTTGTTGTTACCTTAAAAAGTGGTTCCATGGTATATAAATTTGAGAAAACAGGAAATTAAATGAAGTTTCACTAAGTCAGACACAGAAAGAAAAACACCACATGTTCTCACCTATAAGTGGGAGCTAAATAATGTGTATACATGATGTGGAATTATAGATAATGGAGACTCAGAAGGATGAGGGCCTGGGACGGGGAGTGGATGATAAGAAATCACTTAATGGGTACGATGTGTGCTATTCGAGTGACAGATACCCTAAAAGCCCTGACTTCACCACTATACAATCTATGCCTGTAACAAACTTGCACTTGCACTCCATAAATTTACACGAAATGAATAAAGAAATAAGCAAAGTTTCACCATAGATTTCTAAGGGAAGAAGTGGTAAGATTAAAGTAGTACTTTCAGATGATAAAGTAGGAAGGTAATAGGGAAACTGGTAGAAGGAACACCAGCTGTGGCATATGCAAATGCATTCAGGTATTTATTGAAGCCAAATGAAAATGTAATTTCTCTGCAGTTTTAAAAAATCAGTACAGGGCACTGGGACTGGCCACTGAGGGGGGATGTACAATTAGGGAATAGATGGTAGAAGCAAAGATAGCAAAGGAGATGAAGGAGACCAAGTGAACAGAGATGTGCAATGAAAATTAGTGTGTCATAGCTTCATGAAAAGGAAACAAGAGAGTTTCTAGGAAAAAAGAGCCTTAAAGATTGTGAAAAGAAAGCTACAGCAGGGTCATAGAGAAACAGTCTATGCTGGGGGGTCCGTGGCACCTCCAGTGTGACACAGCTGCTAATTTTGCTTGAGGGTCTCACCTGGTCCAAAGGACTCTGGACACCACCAAGGTTATTCTTATGTGTGAAGGCTTTGATTAGCTCAGCCACTTCAATGGCCCCTTTTGGTCCATTATTGAATGACCTAGACCAAAGCTAGGTGTGTCAGTGCTATGGAGAATTAAGCTGATAGTCTCTAGCTTTAACCTATCACGAGGATATGCTCATGGACCAAAATAAGAAGGAATCTGGACACGCAAGATGCAGAGATGGATTGTGAACTACTTTTTGCCTGGTGAGTCTTCTCTACTGTTGTCACATTTGAGACCACCCTAAGCATCAGGCTGACCTCAAGTGTATCAAATACAATTCTCAGATTTAGTTCTAGATGTTACAAACCTAAATAGAAATTATACTGAAATGCTAAGTTAAGACATTGTAAATGATACTTTAGTAATACAATATAGAATTTAGATTGTACAAAGTATAATAATTCCAGAGTCCTTATCTATGGCTCTAAAGAACCCTCTTAATTTCAATTACCAATGAAAAAATTTTAATTTTCACATTTTTGGAGTTAACATACCTTATACCAATAAAATTGTTGTCCTTGAACTGCAAAAATGACATTAATGTTGTTGTCTATTAATTTTTCTGAAAGTTGGCCTAGTGAGGGATGTTCCTGTAATGAATAATGAAATAAAGAAGGGAGTGAAATTTCACAGCTCCATTCTATGCATATTCAAACATCTATTAAGAAAACTGTATGACTTACATAAAAATGTACCTGGGAAGGGTTATGGTTTTACTAGAGACATTGACATTTTTTAAAAAACATAATATCAATATCCATGTATTAAAATATTTTATATACAAAATTCCCATAAAAACCTGTAACTTAAAAAGATGAAGAGAGCTGATTGCAACATAACTAACAAAGAGTGATCAGCATCTCTGTAGATTAACATTGGACTCCAAGTGATGTAACTGACAGAGAATTTAATATTCAGAAATAGAGACACATTACTGACAATCACATTCTAAGGTGAAATTCTGTAACAAATACTGAACTGTAAATATATATGCATGTATGTGTGTATACCTATAAACATATATATACACATACACCTTCAAACATCCACATATACCTATATATACACATTTGATATATAACATGATATAGCATAAACTCTCTTTAGAAGAAGAAAATCCTGTACTCAAGTCCTAGGTTTGTCATCTTACAACAAAAGTTCTCAGTTCCATCCTCGGTAACGCATGAATGATACTTGCCTTCCACGATTGCTGGCAAGATTAAAAAGATGACAACAGTATGTGAACTATTTAGTGTATTTTCTTGCAGGCAGTAAGTGCTCAAAAGTAATAGCAGTTCTGATTCTTATTTCCAACTGCTTATACAAGGTACAGATCACAGATTTCTCAACTTATTATATTCAATATTTTTGTTGTATGATATCTTTTATACCTGCTTTACTTTGACAAATAAAATTTATGCAGTGCCAACTGTGCCATTCTTTGTGGTAATGAGAAAGTTAGAGAAGAGTAGGAAAATGAGAATGAAATTTAGAGAACATGAGAAATCTGATGATTACATAAATTGCTATCTACAGTTATATAGTTAGATATACTATTGGTATTTTTTTTCTATAAATAGTCTTCCAGAAATTAAGATGATTGTCTCAAATAACAAGTTTATAATGAGATACCTAACAGAGAGATGTAAAAGTTCACTGGTAGTCTCTCCTCATTCTTCGGTGCCTTTTGGCATAAGCCAAAGATTAGTATGTAACTGAGCCCAATTAGTATCATACCATTTAAGTTCAAATTACTCCATAGTTTTTGTTTCCCACTGAACTCTCCAATATTAACTGTATTTTATTTAAGGAAAAATCTGGTTAAACTATCTTGGTAAACATTTCTCTATGGTGGCAGCTATGTGTACTTGGTAAAAGAGCTAAATTAACTAGTTTCACTTATAATGTAAGTTCTAAGTAACAACACTTTATTTCTCTATCATCTATAATTGTTGTGATAGAAACAAATCAAATTTTCATGAGTTGGCTTTACATGTGATATGAAACCAACTTATGAAGAAGCTTAAAAAGTATTAACACGTGGGTCTGCATAAGAAAAGTTTTCTCACAGCAATTCTTAAGAATATAATTTTAAAGTAACTGAAAAAAGCTGCAAAAATCCAAATACTGCCAGCTAAATTCTTATTCCTTGTTCCTAATAAAAAGCATAATCTTAAAATATATTTATGGCAGTTTGCATGATGCTAGTGAATACAGAGAACAAGTTAGAGGCAAGGTAAATCTAGCTGTATTGGAAAATTTTTTAAATGGTAACAACTACTTTTCAAGTATTTTTGCTTTGACAAAAGATAGTCACATCTTGCCAACCATTCACCCTTCTTAGTTTTTAGAAACATTTGTATTTTAAGGAAAATGTAATCCATGTTTTTAACCAGGTTTTCCTTAACTCACATAAAATCAATATTTAAATGACACTCTAAGATGTAAGCAGCTTTTGAAGACTTCTTAATCTCTTCCCCTCTCCAAAAACAGGAAGTCACTTTGACCAAATGTATACAACATTTAAATCTAGAAAGTTCTAGTTTGGTCAGAAGCTTGTTACAAAGATAAGTCGATTTTTCAAGCTTACAAAAACAGATTTTTTTTGAATCCTAGAGAGATACCTCTTTTAAAAGAAAATTCCAAGTACCTCAAAGCAGATTTTTAAAAATTACAAATTGATAACAGATGTTTAAATAAACCAATGTTGACAGGAGACCTGTGGACTAATGGCCATTGCCTAAGCCCCTTCCCCTTCCCTTCATGAAACAGCCTATCTTCAGAAAAGTGTTTTATCTCTTATGTCTTTTACTTCACTGGCAGGAGACACATTCCCTCTCAGCCAACTCTCCTGTTCTGGTGATTTCACTGCTCCTGAACTCCAACTCCCTCTCTGTCTAACCCATTACACATTGTTTCTGTTAACTCTGAAAATAATTAATAGAGATAACAAGCATGTCAGGGGTAAAAGAGAGAAGGAAAGCAATATGCCAAGACAGCTGTTAAGTAATTAAGGCTATGGGAAGTAACTTATAAATGTCAGAAGGAAAAAAGAGGTAAGAAAGATTCTTTGGGAGCAATTTTGGATAGAGATAACTGTGTACTGATGTATGGTAGAATTTTAATAATGTGCATATCTAGATGGATTTAAAAACACATTTAAGTTTCTCTTTATACAAGTGAGATTCAAATATAAATTTTTAGAATAGAATATAGAATTTTAATATGGAATATTGTAATAAGATATAAAAACCAAAAAACTTAAATAACCTCAATTATCTACATGATTTTTTAGAGGAAAGAGGTAAACAGCATAGTAGTAATCAAATAGAGATTAATTTAGAGATGAAACTTTAAATGACGTGTCAGTCAACATCTGTCCCAATAGTTAATCTTTTATCTACATAGTTGTACCATGATAACTGCACTGACCAGGGTTTCTCGAGAGTGGTGCTATTGACAGTTTGGGCTGGATGTATTTTTTATTTGACAAAGGGACTGTCCTGTGCATTGTAGGATGTTTAACATGATCCTGGTCTCTACCCAATAGTTGCCAGTAGCACTCTCTTTCCCTAGTTATGACAGCCAAAATGTCTTGGGACATGAAAATGTCCTCTGAAGGGTAAAATCACTGCAGCTGAGAACCACACCACCAGCAGGGGCTCTGGAGACAGATCACCTGGGCGTCAACTGCTGGCTCTGCAGTTACTAGCTATGTGACACTGGGCAGCCGTCTGAACCTTTCTGGAATCCAGTTTCCACAGGTATAAAGCAGGTATAAAAGCTAGTATCTACCATTCAGATGGTGAAAATTAAATAGGTTAACTTGTGTAAAGCCTTTCACTTATTATTCTGTAATTATTCAGATGAATGATGAGTAGCGGTTCATGTCACAAAGCTTAGTGTCAGCGATGGACACGGCTATGTAGGGGTGTGTGACTCCAGACAAGATTCTGATCCCTTTAGCACCCTTTTCCTCCTCATTTATAAAATAGAAGTAAAGCAATATCTACATTTCACTGGAATGTTGAATGGTGTTAAATGAACATGAAGAGACAAACACCATAGGTCTGCTCAAGAAAGACAGTTTTCACCAAAAGACTGCTTCATAACAGACATTTGGAGGCCGTTCCTAAAGGCAAGATATGCTCTTGGATGTGCTTTCCTTGACCTATGTCACTTGCTCGTCTCTCTTACCTGGCCCTGGAGATGTTTGAGTTTGTGGCCCCTGTCAAAGTTGACATCAGTTGTAATCACGATACTCTATTTACTGAAGAAGGGCATGCATTGATTTTTTGTAAGTTTTTCAATAATAATGGCAACAAAAAGCTTTCTGCTTCCGTATGACTTACCTAAAACATCTAATTTAATGAGAATATTCCATTCCATTAACACTTTTATCAAATTTGAATTTTATTGTGTCACTTTTGCAATACCATTTAAAAGGTATTATGCAAGCAGAGCCGGGCCACTTTGAGTCTGGCACAGGTGATTTCTACATGCAATTTTGCTTTCAATTAAGACAATTCCAACTAAATATTGTTTGCCGAGATCCTTTCCAGGCCACCTTTTTTGAGAATATGAGAAACATTCAAATTAGTTCTCCTATAAAATTATTATTGAAATGTTCTCATGGTGTTTACAATTTGAAGCAGATCATTCAACAAGCTGAACTCAGGCACTTTATAGTTTTTAAATTCCCCAAAAGATGTAACAATAGTTTTTAAAAGCTGCACATGTGTTTAAAACTTTCTAGTTGTATTCCATACCTGGCACAAAATAAGTGTAAAATGAATTTGCATTTTTATTAGTATGTGCCTAAGACAAGGAAGCTGAGAAGCAGAAAAAGAGAGAGATTTAACATATTCTGAAGCTGAAAAGGTCATGTCTTTGTCAGGGAACAGCAAACAAAATGAACAGATCGCTTTACTAAAACATCACAATTATCTCCTTGCATGGAATTCTGTCTGATCTCAGCATTAGTTATAAATGTCTTCCAGACTTTGAATATGTCAGAAATACCCCTTTCAGAAAAAAGGAATAAATATAATAGCTATTTGAACATTTGTTAACTCTGGTAGCAAAGTTACAGATTACATTAGTAACTGGCTTCTTAAGCTCTCTTTATTCATCTGTAGTCCTGGAAAAATTAAGTGTAATTCCAAATAGTTAAGATTCACAGCAAAAAGAAAGCTTCCTCAATGGCATACTTAAAAGTCAAGTACATATTAAAGTTGCATGAGGAGAGGCACGGTGTTGAATGTTTTTGCCCATGAGAAAGCAAAGCTGTTGAGTAATGCCTAGTGTGCCTTCTGCATTCTGCTTAGACACTATGCGATGCTGAGCTATTCGGCAGCTAGTCTACCCAAACGAGCCTGCAGGGAAAGGAATGAACTACGAAGCCAGCAGTAAGGGGATTCTGAGAAGTTACGTTATAGAAGGGATAAAAAAAATCGCTGGCCATAATGTGATGAGGCATACATAAAAGGCTGCATAGAAAAACACCAAGCCTAAACTAGTAAATACTAGTGAATATATGGTATGCACTAGTACATAAAATAGGAATGCGGTAGGATCTTGCCAATTTGATTCTCTCTATTTAAAACTGTGAGTCACATCAACATCTGAAAATCCCATTGATAAGGTTCATTGGATGACCTCCACGTAGTTGTTTCTTGGTCTCCTTTCATTGTTACTGAAGATCCTGATGCTATTCTTGGCCTCTGCCAAGGGCTGGGTGAACAGTTTCTGGGAGGGCTCTGACTCACGGTGGAAATAGCCCTGGAGAAGCTGGGTGGGGAGACAGGGTGAAATTCCAGACCCTCAGTATTAATAATCTATCTTCTATGCCATTAATAATTTTTGTATTAGCATTTGCCATTTTAAATAGACTGTCACACCTCATTGTCATTATTACTGGATAAATTATGAAACTACTGCTAAAGTTTTTTTTAATTCTGGCACTTGATCTTGAAGAAAAATCAGTGGAAAATGGAATTTATTCAATAGTGTAACATCATTCGCCAGCAACCATAGACAAATATTGCAGTGTGTAAATATAAATTATTTTATGTATTGTTTTATAACTTATGTAAGTCAAATCATCTGGGTTATACTTTTGTAAGTAAGTCTGCAACCAGAAAGAGAAGGAATGACAACAGGAACATTATTATTTTTTTCTTCTATAGTTCAGTCAATAGACTGTGGCAAAGTAAAGAATGTAGATTTTAATATAAGATTGAGATGGATTGGGACCAGGTCTGCAATTTATTAATGTTTTAGCTGTTTATCCTCAGGCAACTTACTTAGTGTTTCTGACCCTCAGTCCTGTTTGTAAAAGGAGGCTAATTATGACTACATTATAGAGTTGCTGTAAGAATTAATTTGTAACTGTATGCAAAGTGATTGCTACGGTGCTTTCAGTTGAATACATATTCAATAAAATGGCAGTTGTTATTTGTCTAGGGTTCACACTGACCTCCAGGAAATAACTACTTATCCAAGCAACAGAACTCTGTCCCATGTAACTTAGAAATATAAAGGGTTTTTTTTTTTTTTTTATCAATTATTTCCTTTTATAAATAAAAAACTCAGGAATCTTGGTTCAGAGCCTTGAACCAAGAAGCTTAGATACCATTCAACGCTACTGGTATTGGCTGCTGGAGATAAAGCCAGGAAGCAAAGTGTTTGATTACTTGTCTTATACAAAATTTAAAATTCCTCCATAATGGCCAAATAGGAGAGGATAGAGGTCATTTTAAAATGCGCAAATAAATATGCCTAGAGTCAAGGTCAAGGTAGCTTTAGATATAGAAGGTTCCAAAGCAGCAGTACATCTTGAATATATAAATTTCTGGCCAAGGGATTGATCAAAATGCTTCAACTTCTTTGGCCTAATATGTAGGCAGTGACCCTACAAATGAAGGGAATGAGAATTTTTAGGAAGATAATCCCTTGAAGACCTGGGGTAAAAAAAAATAAAAGTATCCTTCTAAGGTGTTAACAAACACGTTATTCCCTGGATTACTCAATACACAACAGCAGTGACATGTAGGAGGGTCCTTCCTTTACATACTGGAAACAATGACCAAGAAGGTAAAAAAAGTTTTTGATGTAATCATCCAATTTCCTGATGTCATAAGAATCCAAGCCCTATCTAAAATTCCACTGGAATTATAACTTATTTCCATAAGGTTCTATAACATGGTATCTGCCTAAAAGTATGACAGCATTTCTTTGCCTAGGAAATCCTCCCTAGATGAGCAATAGTATCATTTCAAATACAATTATAGAGAAATGACTTCAGTGACTTGGCAAAACTTCAAAAGCATAATACAATTTAAGACTAATGTCATTGTTATTTCTTCTTTAAAAAATAAAAATCTTCTCTTTGTCTTACCATACAATAATTCTTCCTGTACCCTCTTCTATTCCCCAATAAATAAATTAGAACTCTACCACTGATCAAAAGAGGTTAAATAGAAGGAAGGATAGATAAGAAATGATTAAGTAGAAGTAGGTGGGTCTGTCAAAGTGAAATAAGGCTGAATAGAAGACAGTTAGTAAATGGAAAGATACTATTGGAATAACTCCAATTCTTCAATTTTTGAATTCAATCTCTAGTTACATTTTAAAATCTTTATATTTTGATACTACTTGCAAGAAACTAAAATGACCAAGGGTTGAACTCATTTTGTATGGTAATACAATTGCCCCTCTAGACTTGGAACAAATCTGGTAGGGTGTTGCAGATGAACTGGTGATCTATTTAAACTTTACCCATGGGAACCACACAAATTTTAGCATAATTTTCATCCTTCTGATACTATGATTCCCAAACTGTGTGTGAGGTGTCTTGGTGCACTGCAGCACACTCCCAAGGGTGGCAGGAAGTAATTTAAATCTTCAAGAGAAACACAGTGACATTCAGCATGTATCAGATACCAATGAACAACCTGATTGGAGGGAGTTCATAGTTTTCAGATTACATTTGGTCCTATTCCTTTAAATGACATTAATTTTTGCCAAGCTGGTCAACCTGAAAATCAACGTGGAAGAAGAAATGAGGGTAATAATGTCCAATCTGACTAAAGGATTTGAAAATTTCTCTTAATAAGCTACTTACTAAAACTGAAACATGTCTCTCTATACTTGATACATTTGTATTATTTTTAAGGAGCTACTAAGTTGTTAAGACATAAATAGTTGAGTTATTTTGATTTAACCACTCAAAAAACAGAACTATTAGGTATTTCTTTTGGCTGATAGGTGCCATGGAAAAAAATCACTGAGACACTAGGGACTTATGAACTGAGAAAGTTTAAGAACACTGTCTTAACATTTGCAAGAATATATAAATGTCAACATCAAAAGTAAATGATGCTTTGGGCTGTTGATTCTTCACAACTAGAATTAGCTAATGCCAGGGGAGATGTGGTTCTAGGTGATTATATTAAATACACGATTCAGGGCTTATACTAACCCTCAGGAAGCAAGCCAGAAATTCACTGATTTAAAAAGAGTCCTTAAATAGCTAAGCTGCAGAGAGAAGTAAGTACAAAGTAGAGAAAGCCTGCCTTGTTTTACTCTCTTCTCTCTTACCTTTTTTCCCTGGTTTCTTTTTAGTTTCTGCCTATTGTACTGCGAGGTTTTCTCCTTAAAATGTCTGTAGATACTGACCCTGTAGAATTGGTCTATTTCTATAAAGCAAAGGTATGCTTTTTCCCCGTCCTTGAATTACGTAAAAAGTAAAATCTTGTATCATTTTTATTTTCAAAAAGTACACAGTGCTTTGTCATTCATCAAAAAGTCAGCTACTAAAAACTGTCAAAGTATTTTAGTGATATATTTCATTTATCAGTATTTATAGATTGCACTGCTCCATAAACTCTCTCTCATGGCTTATCCTTGTTCTGTATCTCTTTTTTAGTTAATTTCCTGGTACAAAAATAGTTGAGTTGCCAATTAAAAATTATTCTTTAGCCAAAAGAGCCATATCTACTAAGAGGCTACAGCTACATTACCATGGTTGTCGATTTGATGTAGACATTGTTTTTCAGATGGCAGTTTCCGTCATTGGGCACCACTATGCCTGCCAATTTGCTATCAAGAGCAAGATGAGATGTCTGGTCTGTCATCACCAGCAGCAATCTTTTAGCTTCTTTTCGCCATCCAATATGACTCTTAAAAATAAACATGTAATTAGACTTTGTATAATAACATAGATCTGTACTGTGGTTTTTACTTCAAGTAAACATTATGTTTGAGTTGAGGAACATTAAGTCAGGCTAGAACCATGTGCATGGATATAATGCTGCTGCATAAATAGCTTTAACTTTTATTTGTATATCCTCTGTTTTCCCACAGCCATGTGACCACACTAGTTCCTCGTTAGAGATTTCTAGTGTTCCAGTGGAGAAAGAATCAGATAGATTAAAAAGTAGGGGAACAAGCTGAAGTGAGGAGGATAACCATCTACTTCTAGTTCTTTGGAGTGTGGTGCATGAGAAAAGCAACACTTTTGGAAAGAATTTTCATGTGCATAATCTATTCTTTCCCTTTTATCTTTTCCTATTTAAATCCCTCCCCAAATTTAGCCCCTCTGTCCCAAATACACACCAAAATGAATCACCTTGGTGAGGAAAAAGAGATGGTAAGATATGTATTCTTCTACACTAGGTTTTTACTTCACAAGTCAAAGAGAAAATAAAAATTCTAAATTCTTTGAAAGTTTTGCATCTTAGCAAACACTCAATAATGTGAAAACGTCTTACTTCACAGACTGCTGCCTGAAGCATGGCATCAAAACTTCCTTCTGGTGTATCTATGTTTCCAGAGATCTTCTGTCTGTGAACTGCTTTCTCAAAGTCAGTGATGTTCTCTGTCAAAGACAGCACATGAATGTATCCATGTGGAGGCATACAGTCTAAATTGTAGTCACTATATGGGAAAAGAAGAAGTGTAAAATTTTGTAAAATTTTGCTCTTTTTTCTTAAGCATTCTGGAATACTAAACAGTAAAATTGCACAGTTGTGTGAAAAGGGAGTACTTCTTTTGTGCCAGGGAAATATTATAAGACAAAAATCTGTGCTTATAAAATTAGAAGTTTGATATTGGTAACAGCTTCTGTACAAGTAGGAAATAAGACTATAAGCATTTGGTATTCAAAAAATGAAGATGATTAAATGTGTTTTTAAATATAGAACAATTAAAGGCTTTCAATATTTAATCTGCACTGTGAATTTTTAAGGTGAATATAAGAATGTGCAGTGATTTCTTATCATTGAACAGCTGAGAAACCCTTTTGGAAAAGGTTTTTGGGAAATTTAGTTGAAATATCATATTACTGTTTTGTTTTTAATACTGCACTAATTTTTAAAATGATGCTTGGTGGAATTATTGATGAAAAATCAAAATTAATGAAAGTTATTTTGAGAATCCATGATATCCAGAAAGTAAGAATGATTCCTCTGGCACATTCACCTCAAGAAGGTTTATGAAACTCCATTAATGGATGTGTCAATCCTGTTCTGGTACATCAGATGACAGAGCAGTTTCGGTAAATTGGAATACATATTGTAAGGTAATCTAAGCAATTTGTAGGCACAAGAAAGATAAAGTCTTTTATGAAAAAAGATCCATACAGATTTGCTTTTCTGAAAATTCTACAGGCTAATGGCAATATTGTGTGACATTGTATTTTTACGGTTAATTCTTCTTTCATAGTGGGATGTATGCTATTTAGAATCAGAATTCTAAAACGGTAAGAAAAAAGGCTCTTTCTAAGCAGTCAAATTCTCATCTTTTGACCCACTTTCTTTGTGACAGCTGAGCTTGCTTTGTAGTCACATTATAAGCGACATCATTATTCACAGTCACAACACAGTGATGGAGAGACAGATGAAACATGGGCACAAACTCTTTGAAGTGTATCAAACCATAATTCAATAATTTTGGAGCAATCAAAAAATAAAAATACAGAATTTCCAAAGAGGTGTTTATATACATTGCAGACTAATTATTGAAGGTTTATTCAAAGTTACTAACATTAGGTAGGATTTTTTTCTTTTGATGATAAAAACTGACTAAATATTTGAAGAAATATAAAAAGCCTAATCTACAGGACATCTCAGATGTTTTCAGATATGAACAAACCTCCCCACCTCACCAAATATTTTTATTCATATTTTATACAAAAATATAAAATTTGGTATGTTCTTTACATTAAAAACAAAGTGAGATTTTATAAGCAAAAAATTGAGTATATCCACATCAAACCCTAGATACCTGCATTGATTATGAATCCTTTCAGGGTGGATACTAATGTATGGTGAAACTGTTTTATCAACGTACGAGCCAAATCCAATACGAAAGTCAGTGGTGAAAAATTGCATTTTTCTAGATAAATCTTTTCCAATATAATTTAATTTTTCTATATTATTGTGCATTGATGCTGAGACATCAACCAGATAATAAAGATCCACAGGATATTTCTTCAGAGGATGAATTTTCAGCATAAAATTAGCTTCAGCTCCTAGTTCAACAGAAGAAAAACATCATGTAGTCTTCATTTTAAACATTTCAGGATAAGATCTCAATAAATTAGTCACATTCTAGCACCTAACACAATCATCACAAATTTGTACATAAATTTTGGAATATTCTAGTATAATTATGACATATATAGTATTATTATTCTAGTATACTTATAAGGCAATTTGAAAACTATGCTGATTTATTGGTCTCCAAATCCTACAGTACATTTCCCACAGTTCTATAGGCTGATTAGGGATGATAACAAATGGGCCAGCTCCATATAAATGTAACAGGGTACCGTATCATTATATGAAACTCCCATGCCTTAGTAGTTAGAAAAACACAGTGCAGACCAGCCAGCAGCATTCTATCTCAAGACAGTGAGGGGGCTGTACTTGTAGAATGAGTTGAGGAAAACTGGGAATGTATCTTTTAAAAACAGATCTCTTATTGAATAAAGGCATAAATTCATTCTTTTGGGTTAAAGTGTATTTACATAGGAGATGAGAAAACTCTGGTACTGCACAGTACAACAAGCTATTCAAAATAATTACTATCTCATCACTTGTTAGTTGATAAGATTCCCCTCATCAGTTGGCTGACAGAAGGAATGAGACAGTGGGCTAAAGAACTATACCCTGCAGTACCACATGGAGGACCTGGGGAAGGGAGGGGTCAGCATTTGTCCAACACACAGTGGGTGTTCAATGAACACACACTGGAGAGGGGTCCCATGGGCAAGGCACCCACCCTGGGCAAAACAACTGGATGAGAAGAGGAGGCTGCCACAAGAACAAACATCAGTAGTCTCCGCTGGGCACTACAGTTTTATTTCGTTCTCTGTTACATTACTATTTGATAAAGGACCTGGGTTATCCCCCTAACCCTCTATAGAGTTGGTACCTCTACTTTTCATTTAAAGTACATGGTGAAAAGGCAACTATTTAAATATAGGCAATTTACAATTTATGAATTTTACTTTTTTAAACAAATAATCAAATGCTTTGTAAGTCATTTTTTCGTAAGAATATTCTGAATGGAAAACATTTTTAAAATAAACATTGATTTGTATACACAAGTTACTTATTTAAACAATCTTCTAATTTACCAAATCATATTTTTGGTGTTAGTATAAAATAGCAATATTTTCTTTTCAATTATTTCACAAATCAGATGTTTTTCAGCCAAATTACTTACTGTATTCAAAATGATAAGGTTTTGCTGATATATAATAATAATTATGGTATGGGAGAAGGGAACTACTCATTCTGAATTTGCTTTTATGTCTAGGCAGCCCTTTTAGTGTAATGCTCCTAGGTTTTGGCCCCTATTTGAGAGGAGAAATTGGGCATGCCTGGCCCAGCCCAGTCCATTCTCTCGTCCCTTGCCTTCAGAAGCTAGGCTGCTTCCAGAGACCATATCCTACATTCAGCTCTGCTTCTGGTCTTCTCTTGACAGAAAGACCCATTCCCTGTGGCAGTGTTCTGCAATTTGAGTGGAGAAATTAAATTAAGGGGAATGTTAGACACTAGTACACTGGACCAGATCCATGAGAAGCAGAAATTCAGCACTCCTGGGGAGAGCGGTTCTCATGCAGGGACTTGAACCTTCATGTATGGATCAGCATTTTTTGTTTTTGTTTTTCACTCAGACCCAAAGTGTCAACTCTCTCTAGAACTGCTGTTGATGAAAAATATTGCAATCTTTTTAGATTAAAAAAAAATTGTTTTTCTAACCTGGCCACTCAAAAAACATGGTATCATGGTATTTTTATGTTGGTGAATCATTGCAGTTTATGGTGGCTCTGTCTAAATATGAATGGCTGTTTTCAGAGGTATTGCTAGACGTACTAGATAGTCAGCATACTGTGCCAGGGACCCAGCAAAGGTATGGGTTGGTCACCTCAGCAAACAAGCAGAGCCTGCGTAGCATCAGCAAAGGCACAGTCCTTGGAGGTAAGCTATTCAGGGCCCTCCAACCAAATGCTAGCCACACAAGGCCCTCAGCTGAAACCAGATGCTCATAGCCTAGCAAGCAAATTCTGGTCTCACTGGCCTCAGCAAAGAAGAAGACAGTGAGAGAGGACTGCCAAATGGTCAGGGTTTGAGAGTGTGAGCTGCTGTGGCTCGATTTTGGATACTATAGATTCTGACCTTAGCACATATACAGCGGTCAGCTGAGGCCTCAGTAGAGAAGTTTTCACTGAAGAGGAAAAGGGAATATTTCCATACACAGGCCTTTTAGTAATTGCTGGCAAGAACAATAATCAATACTTTTACACTGCAAGACCCTTGAGCTTTCTGTGAGGGTCTAGCTCTAAGTAGTCAATTCAAGGTAAATAGACCTAGCTAGGCTGACTCCAAATCCTGCTCTGCTAGATAATGAGGAAACTGAAGGGGTCAAGCTTGGATTACCATGTCATGAGTTTGAGATTTTCCTGATAAGATGCTCTCAAGTTGGCTTTGGATTGTATAATTATAAATAAAGGAGAAAACTCTTGGGGGCAGGTGTCCTAGGCATCAGTCTTCTACAGTAAGAGGACCTAGAAATACCTTTTTGTGGCACTGTGGATATTATGCCCCTAGTTAACTTCCCCACTTAACCTTTGTACGTGATCTCATCATAGAGCCACTTATAAACTGTTTTGGACAAGATGCCTGGGCATAATTTTGGAGGAGAAATAGAATAGGTTACGAAACATGTGCTTAGAGTGACCTTGGAAATTATTTAATTAATGAAGTGCTATGACCCATTTCAGGGTTTCCAAGAAATTTCCACTTCCCATCAGTGGTTTCAGAATTATTACCAAAGGAATTCTAGTTGGCATGGGGATGTGGCTATATGAAAATGACAGCAGAAACGTCCTGATAGACCATGGATCCCTGTCCTGACATGGACAGCAACCTCAGTTTCATCACATGCTTAATGACAATATCCAGTCGTTTTAAACAAAGAGCCTGGGAATGTTAGGGAGGGGAAGGAAGGGAAGAGGAATTATTGCTCCTCACTTTTTCTCCTTCCTCCCATGTAGGACAAGCCCCACATTCACTCCTTCTCAAGCATAATATATGATTTTCAAGGCTATTTTACCTAAAGGATTTTATTAATTTTGCTCAAGCCATGTTGAATGTGTTTCTATTCATACTTTAAAATTACCTTGGCTGTTCCAGCTATCAGATATTATTAAACAGTTATGTGCAACTGGATTTGTCATACAAATATTAAACTTAACCAGGAGTGTGCGCTCCAAATACTTTTAGTTGTAAGTTACCATGGGTTAATATTTATATTGAATATTAATAGATGATATATCAATGTTCCCGTTTTAATTTCACATTAAGTTAATTATAGCTGTTATTGTCACTTTAGGGGTTTTGGGTGCTGAAGATAAAGGATAATGATTACTTTATTTACAATTCTGGTATCTTTCTTGAAATGCCAGTCTCAGAAAGTAACCTAAGTAAATTTCTACAACAGCAAATGAAATTCTGGTGATGTTTTAGTTTATTTTTTTTAATGTACTTTATTGTCATACTTCATTCTTTTCGATAGTTTTCTGTTTTTGGAGCACAAGTAAATGTGAAGAATCTATTTGGGTGTGTGTTTATGTGAATGTCTTTAAAATATTGTCAATTCTTCTGAATGCAGAACTATCTAATTTTCCCTTTTTCTGGAATTTGAATCAAGTTATCTCACCAATTTTAGGTCTTTTTTCCCTATATTAAACAATCAGTTCTTACCACTAAACATAGGTAAGACCAATTTTGAGGAAAATAATTATAATTGACTATAATTTGGGGCTGACTGTAACATTTCCTTCTTTTTTTTTTTCCTTTATGAATGTAGAATTTCTAATATGAGGTAGAATCAGGTTAATTTCAACACTGTAGTTCAAACTTAGTACTGTTGACCCAGTAATGGGTTTGAGAGTTGAGAATCTGGTAGTTTAGTTTTCACTCACTTACCTATTGTGCATCAAGTTAAACATTTCAAATGAACTCCTCTATCATACCAGAATACTGGGATATATTCCTAGCCACCCTAGCCCTTCTTGACCTTTTGCCTGGATTATTTCCATAACCTCTTCGTTTGTGTACCCCTATCATCTCATCTTCCTGCCATCATTATCTATACCACGGAGCCTATCTTTTTAAAATTCAAAATTGCTTGTGTTCTGTCAACAGCTCTCCACCAGATGGCCAATGCCTAATGGCTAAAAACATCAGATCAAAGTTCCTATGTAATACTGACTCTTGTCTACATCTTTAGTTCTAGCAAAACAAATCTGCTTTAATTCTTCTTATATACCCTACAAATGCATACTCCTATTCCCTGCTGTGGTCCTTCTTCTGCCTGTGGTGGCCCAACCTCTTCTTCATGTAATTACCAGTTAAAGACGCCACTCAGTAATCTGCTCCTCCCTAGAGTGGGCTGAGGGCCCCGCCCCTGTACCATCGTTTTAGTGTTTACCATATAATTATGAGATTCTAGACTGGGCATCTTTATTTTTTTTATTTTTATTTTTTAGCAGCTAAGGGCTACTAAATATGATAATCTATGAACAATATTTACCATAGTATTGGGTATACAGTAAATACATATATTAGCAATTATTACTTACTACTACTAGATTCTAAGCGACACTAAGGTAAGAACTGTTTCATCTCCGAAGCCTCTGTGGCTAGCACATGCATAGTCACCCAGAAATGTTTTATAACTAAACTATATTTGAAGCACATTTTGGTACAACATTTCAAAGGGCCCACATACCCACATAGTTACCACAGGAAGAAGCCAGTATCTAGAACTTATTTCCCACAGTGTAGGGAAAGCATCCACAGAGTTTCTCTAAGAGGAAAAGTGTATCAACTGGCTCCCAAATGTTCCTGCCACCACTTATATTATCTCCAGGAAAGCTTTATCCTTGTCCTTTTGAGGTTCTAAGGACTCAGACTCTTATTTCCTTCCATTAACTTTAAAGGGAAGAAGTGAGTCTGT